ACATAACAATATATTTTGATTGGATATTATAAACGTTTGACCAAAATCCTTGATTATCGCAAAAGTGGTGACCGAAACCTTTTTCCAGATTCTAAGCAAAGTTGTTCAGCGGATAAAAAAACTATAGGTCTATTATTAGCTAATTGGTGTGTTGAATCGATATTTGGTGAGAAATTTCCTATTTCGGAAAAGTTAAACTTTTAGATTTAACAATATATACAGTGTATTAAAAAAGTTTTTGAACAAATTTTGAAATATTATTTTTTGTCTATATACAATTTAATCAATAATTAAAAAATTAAGATAAAAATTTAAATACATATATTTGAAAATATAAAAAATAAAGTTATTTAAGAAAGTTTCTTAATTATATATATATTATAACAATATTATTGATTTTAAATTTTAAATAAAAAAATGGATAAAAAATAAATTTTTTAAAAATATTATAATAAAAAATTATAAAAAATAAATAAAATTATTTTAATATAAAAATAAAACAAAAGAAATATAAAATAATTTTTTTGTAATTTTTTAATTAATTTAAAATTTTCAATTATAATTTTATATATAAATTTATATATAAAAAATAAAATGTTCTTTAATAATTTTTTTTAATTTAAATTAATTTTTTAAATAAATTTATTAATTAATTTATAAAATTTTTTAGTACTTTGTCTATTAGATTATAAAAAATATATTTTAAAATTTTATTTTAATTAAATATATATTTATTAAATTAGAATAAAAAAATATTGTTCAAAGATTTTCTTAACACACTGTAACTTTAGTATAATACCATAAAATAAAGAAATGATGTTTACCTATCAGAAAAAAAAATTATTTCTTATAATAAATTTCACATTTGATAAATTTTTATTATTATATTTAATAATTAGTATTAAAAAATATAATCTTATTAATATAAGTATTCTTAAGTTTGTATTGTTATAGAAAGCAAATGTTATTCAAAAAATATTAATTATAGATAATTTTATATGATAAATTTATTTTTTAAATAAATAAAATTTAACAATAAAAAAATTTTTTACAATTAATTAATTATTAATAGTAATTATATATAAAAATTTTTATTATTATTAAAATGTATAATTATGTACTATGTAATATTGTTTTTCAAAATATATATATAGTATATTGTAAAGCTTTTATTAAAATTAGATAAATATTTAATATGATTTTTATTAAAATAGAAATTTAAATATTAGATATGATTTTATTAAATTTAATATTTAAATACTTTAATATATGCTGAACAAAATTTATTAATATTAAATTGCTTGTTAAAACAGTAGTTATGAATATTGAGTGAATGTCAAATTTTGACAAAATTAAATAATTTTTATTCAGAATAAAATCATTAAATATAATAATAAATGTTTGTCAAATTTTATTAAAAATTTCAAAATAGATAGAATTCATTGTGAGAAACAAGTTTGATTAGTACTAAAAATCGGTTTTGTTAATAAAATAAAAGGTTTAATATATGACAACTATTTCAGATTAACTATAATATTTTTTAAGTAGTACTTCATTTCTTGGGGGGACTGTGTATAAAACAATTAAATAATATATAACAAAATTAAATTCTTGAAAAAATTAATTTAATTTAGATTGATTACAAGTATTTAGAATTAGAAATAAAAGTATGGTTCAAATGGTTTTATATAAAATATTATTTTAAATAAAAAGATTAATTACTTAAAAAGATTTTTTATGATTGAAACAATTTATTTAAATATTTTTAAAATTGTATTTTTATTAAAATTAGAAGTAACTGATTGGTTGTTTAAAAAAATTATTTTTTATTAATGATTCAAATTTATGTCAAATAATTTCAAGATTCTATATTTCAATATAATAAAATTACTCATCATATACTGTATTATTTTGATTTAAAAAATCTTGTTGTAGTTCATTAATTTAATTAAATCAATTGCATTGAAAATGTTATGTTATTATTATTGAAGTTAATTTCAAATTACAATAAAAAATCAATTGATTTATTTTTAATTTAACATAAGTTTTTAAAATAAACTATAGTCATTAAGAGGCATTTAACGAGTAAAATTGCTTTTCAAATTTTTTGTACAATACAAAACCTTACGAAATTACGTAATAAAAAAAAAACATCGAGAATATTTTTAAATAGAGATTTAAAGAAGGTTGATTCAAATAAATTATTTGTCAATGTTATTTAATTAATCGTATCCTTTATCTAAAGATACTGTATATTAATTACGTATCATTTAATATACAGTATTTAATTATTACTTTAATGTACTGAAATAGGAATTCTTTAAAAATGCATATTTTTTGTATTTGTCAAGTGACGCAAAAAAATAAACAAAAAATTATAAATATTCGGTTTGTAACTTTTGTAGCTTTGAAATATACGTATAATTTCTAATAAACTTATTTCTCACCATTGATTAACTGTAAATTTCATGAACCTTACCAAATCCGATTCGTCTATTCTGCTATTCTAATAATGATCAAATGAAAATATTTACCATGCAATCTGTTCTTGACGCGATTGTTTTTGCGCGTTTTATATCACGGCTGTGCAATAAAAGCTCAGCCAAATACTATAGAAAGAAAATGAAAAAACACTTTTCCTCCAGCCTTAGCTTTACAAATAAATAATAAGCTTTGCCTCAAATCGTTAGCCATATATCATTGGCAGTGAAAATATAATTTAACCAGTGGCAATTTATGAGAAATGACAGGCCTATAAAAAACAAAATCCGTCATGCAATGCACTGAAACTTCGAAGAGATGGTTTGCTGCAATATTGGATGTGACTTTGATACTGGTGATGTTCCTTTGTCCGGCCCTCGGTATGTCCTGACGCAAACAGAGAATTATGGATAGAAACAATATTAACAAAACGTCGATCTCTTAATAAGGAATTGCAAAGGTTGAATTATTTAAAGGAAGTAATGGTGAAATTTATTTTAACAATATTATTGAATACGGGTAGGTTTTTCATATGTTCGTGGATTTTAAATACACTTTGTCTCTCCTTTCTCAATAAATTTTTTGGTGTATCTAGTTATATTATTATTTCATTAATAATTCCATGTAAGCATCTACAAATCCGTGCAAAAACATCAATGGGCATTGATCTGAAAAATTTCTACATTAAACTTGACAGGTGTCGTTATCCTAATAGTAACTTGGAAATGCATTCAAGCGCCGCCGGACAGGCTGAGACCATTATTAATGTAAACTTCAGTTCTTTTCCGTGTGGTGCATACTTTAAATTGATTGTTTTCTATTGTTATATTGTACGTAAAAAGTGCTTGGCCAATATTTTGGTTCGGGATATCAAGTAAGATACACTGTAAATTCACGTTACCGTCTCGATAAGCCCACAATAATCATCTCAACTTTTCAAGTCGTATACACGGTCCTAACGATTAACGAGATGGGTAATATTCCATTCTCGTGTCCCTCCGATTATCCGTACAGTTCTGAAATAATTCGCACTGCATGTCAAGTTCGCACGGCAAATTTAATTTCCATGTGGATACTCGAAGCAATTTCCATAATTTTTGTTGTGGCGATATTCGAAAATTGGCTACCAAAACCTTGCCCACTGCAAAAAACAAAGAACAAGAACGCTTCAATGCTCTTGAAGGATTTAAAAAATAGGCATGATAAACACATCGCTCGCTCTAGTGATAAAGCGTCATTTGGCTCTAGCGATAACGCGCCAAGCTCTAGTAATAAAATGCCACTCATCATCACTAGTTCTAGTAATAAAGCGCCATTCTCCACCGCTAGCTCTAGTATTGAAATGCATTCCCCATAACTATAAAATCTGTGAGGGCAGGGTGGGATGAAAGGGAGACATGCTGGAATATATAAATTACATGCGAAAAAACAAGAGATTGAAAATATGGTGTTTGGTCTTAAGCTTTTTTGGTTTCCGATTTTACTCAGGGGGGATTTTTTTCAGGCTTTCTTTTTTAATTATACTATTAAACAAATTATGTCATTAAATTTTAATCATAAAATAACTCAATTATTATAAATTAATTAAAATATTGTGTTTGATTTTAAGATTTGTTCTGGATTTTTCTGTTTTTTTTTAATTATAATATTTAATAAATTTTGTCAGTAATATTTGTGGTTAAATACAAACAAAAAAAAACTAATGTAATAGCTGACGCATATTCTTAACAAATACTTAATTGTCATTTTTGTTTTCACCACCTAATTGAAGGAAAATCTTGAGGAAATATATTTAAGGAATTTATTTATCAAACCTATCCAAAAAACTTTTCAATATCCTGAGTCTGCAACTAAAAAGAAACAAATACGAGCATGAAATTTGATCTAAAGAATAAAAAACCCTATTTAAAAAAGAATTAATAATTGATAATATCAAACACTAAAGGATTGAGAAATAAAAATTCTATATAAATTTTATTGCAACATTACTGTATGACATTTGATAATCAACAAGATTTCAATAACATTGCAAGGCATTTCTATTGATCCAAAGTACATCAAATAATACATCAATAGCTATAACACTTACCAAAGAAATAAATTATCTAATTAAAATTCTGCTTTTATAACTATTAAAATATTAATAATACATTGAGAATATACAGTATGGAACATTAAAAATCAGAATATTTTTACTATATATTATTATATAAACAATGATTGTTTAATTTCTAATTTTAAATATTCTATACTGTATCTTTATAAATTTTAAAGTACAGAGAGGTTGCACAAAGTAAGCTGATTTTCTCGGCAACAAAATTATTCATAAAATAAAAATTTATTTTTATGTCCACACAAATAATCTACCAATGTTTCACATATCTATTTTTTGCTATTACTTCTTTCAAACAATTGGGCATTGAGTTTATAAAATGGAAAATTTTTTCAAATTTGATAATATTCCATGCTGCAATAATAGTCTCCTTTAAATTGAATTTTTTACATGGTTTTAGTTCTTATTAATCCACATTTTGACCTTTATCTACACATTTTTAATTGAATTAAGGTCTGATAATTACAGCTGCTATTTCATGATTATGATTTTAAGCTTAGATATGATGTCTTTCACAAGTTTATACTTGTAAATTGATGTATTTTCTTTTTATAATATTCTATCTTCTATGATCAAATTTATTAAATAAATGGTATCCAAACCAAGATCATTATATTTTGTACTATTAATATGAGATAAAATTTGAATTAAATATACAAATTATATTTATTCATGTATTTTTCTACTATAATTGATTGTTGTTTACTTTTGATAATTGCTTGAATTATAAAGTTCATTTTTGCAATATTAAATATAGACTTTTTATAATAGTTCATATTAATGAAAGACTCTAATCCAAAAAACATTTCTCTGATCTTTTTTATTTAGCTTTTATAAATTTTTATTCAATTAAATTATTTGATTCGGTTTTTTTATTAATAAATAGTTTTTTATATATAATATAGAAATAAACATTGTTTTTTAAAAAACTTTTAACTAAAGTATAGTAAAAAATAAAATTGAATAAAAATTTGACAACTAATATATGTTTTGGCATTCTTTCAATTTAGAATTCAACTTAATCTTTTACAAAATAAATTTTTTGAAGTGATTGTTAGTTACTGGTTTTTTGTCACTATTGTTTTTTATTAAATAATAATTATGAATTAATTTTAACTACTTAGTAGTATTTAACTGCAGTATAAAACATTCCAATAATTCATATAAATTTAGCAATAAATATGTCTTTTTTTTAGCATTTTTACATATAATGTTTATCATCTGTAAGGATTCTAACAATTCTCTTCGATTCTGTATTCGATTCTCAAGTTTATATTAAATTTAATAAGTGGGGTATATCCATTATCATTTTTAATAGTGTTCCGAACTGTATACAATTCCCTGATATTCTTTGTTCAATTCCAATTTTCAGAACCATAATCATTTGTGAGATTATTTTTATATTTCATTGAAGTATATATATCAAAATTTAAAAAAATTTTTGTTTAAATAATAAAAAAAATAAATCCAAATCTATTTTATTAATATTCAGTTTGATGTAAATATATTTTTATCAGAAATAATTAAATTAAAAAATTCTAATGGTATAAAATCTTTAATTATTAACCTAATTTTCTGTAACTTTTTGATATAATTATTATTAATACAACAAGAAATACAAAATTATTGTAGTATTTACCAACTATCTATCAATTAAATTGTCTTTTAATCCATATTGTCATATATCGTTTCTATCTCAGGAAAAAGATAAAAACGGAGAACTAGTAGCAGGGAGGCACTTTAGATGGACAGGACCAATATGGTATGCGAAAGTTCCTAGAGGCGTACAAATTAGTACAGTTCTGAGGTGTATGAGATCAGGTGAAAGAGGC